AAAAAGTGAATTATAAATAAATATATATTATATAATTATTAGTTAATATTTTATTTTCTTTATTTTTTTAAAAAATACTATTAAAAAAAAAGGCAAAAAAATAAGCAACAGTTTTTTATTTGTTTATTGAGTTTTTGAAAATAAATTAAAGAAAAAAAAAAAAAAAAAAAGTAATAATATATTATATATTTTTTTTATTAAATATTAAAAATTATCTTAAAATTTTCCCTTTAATATTATTTTAACAATAAGTATTAATTAAAATTGTTATTTATTATTAATCTGAATAATAAAAATAATTTTATTTTTTTATGTTTAGTATAATAACTTTTAATGTTTAAGCAAATCAATAATTAAATATTTTAAAAAGTATAATTATAAATATTTTAAATAAATAAATTACTATTTAAATAGTATTTGCTTCAAATTTCGAATATCCATTTTTTATTAAATATTTTTTTTTTTTAATCTTAATAAGGTAATTAATTATAATTATACATAATTGCGCTAGATAATGTAGTTTATTTTTATTAATATTAACTTATTAAAAATATATTATTATTTATTTTATAATTTTTCTGTATATATTATTTAGATATATTTTAATTATATATTTAATAAAACATCTATCTTTTTATATTTACTTTTTATTTTTAAAATTTTTTCTTTTTTTTTTAATTACTTAAATTTACTTAAAGAAAAGATATATAATTTTAAATTAAAAAAGTATAATTTAAATAATTTTTACAAAAATTTTGATTTAATTTTAACAATAATAAATTAATTAATAATAATGATACCGAATCTTAGAATTTAAAATAAAAACTAGATTTAGAAAATATTGAATTTTTAACTTTATATATAAAATAAAAATAATTATATTTATATAAATTAAAATTTAAATTAATGAAAATAAAATTATATTAAAAAAAAAATATTAACATATTATTTGTTCATAAGTTTTTATATTTTTTTTAAAAAAAAAAAATTCAATCATTAAAAAAAGTTAATATAAATAGAATATTGTCTTTTTTTCTTATCGACTGATTTTTTTAAAAAAAATCTGTTAAATTTAAAAAATCTAAAAATTAGTCATATAGTTTTCATTGAATATATATTTTTTTTTTTTAATTATATTATATGTTTATTTCTATTTACTGTATTTTTTTCAAGAATACAATTATTAATATATTTTTTAAATAAGATTAAGGTAATAATAAAAAAAACAATTTGAATTAGTAATATATTTAATACATAATTCATTTAAAATTTTTATTAATTATTTATTTTATTAATTATATAAATAACATGGGTGAATCTTAAAGTAAAGTATATAATAATAAATAATAGATAAATACTCCATTAAATCATAAATAACAGCAAAATATATCGTAATAAGAAACAATTTAAATTTCTGAATTTAATAAAAACAATGAATTCATTATAATAAAAGTAATTTTACAAAAATCAAAAAATAAAATAACTAAATTAAATTAAAGAAAATAGCTTAAGGAGGGCATAGTGTAATATATTTGATATAATATTAATAAACAAGTAAAATAAAAAAAATGTTTTATATAAAATTATTTGATTAACTCATCTAGAAAAATTGTATGCATTAAAACAAATAGAAATAAATTAAATTTTAAATTTAGATACGAACTTAGAATTAAGAATTATGAAAAATAGCTAAAGCTGTTTTATTGCTAAATTAGAATAAATATAGAAAGATGTGTATAATTATTATTTTATAACAAAATATCAACAAGGAGGTAAATTTAAAAAATATTCATATAATTAAGGATACAAAATTTTACAAAAAAAGGAAGCCTTTTATAAATGATATAAAAAATAGGAAAATTTAAAGAAAAATAAATATAATTTTATGCCGCAGAATTACTTTTAGCGATACAATATTTGCATGAATAAAATATAATTCATAATGATATAAAACCTGATAATATTTTAATAAGTGAAACTGGCCATATAGTACTAACGGATTTCGGAATTTCTTATTAAATTAATAATTAAGAAAATAAAATATTATAATAAAATGATTAATTTATAGGAACATTATAATATACAGCTCCTGAAGTTTTATAAAGTTTTTTATTTTATATTTTAAATTATATTTTTTATATAAATCAAACATTAGATTATCGACATTCAAAATCATCTGATTATTGGAGCTATGGAATCATAATATTTATGATGGTTACAGGTTATCATCCTTTTGCTGATGCAGAAAATATTAATGAATATACTGTTAAAAATATTACTTAAGGAGACCCATTTTAAAATTGTGTTGCTAATATACCTCCAAGATTAAATACTTTATTATAAGGACTATTAGAAAAAGATGTATTTTTTTGTTTTTTCTACTTTATTTAATTTAATAATATTAGCCAAATTATAGATTAGGAACATAAAATATTAATTAGATTAAAAATCATTGTTTTTTTAATGAGATTGATTGGAACTTACTATAAATTTAAAAAATAAAATCTCCTTTTATCCCAAAAATAAATGATAATACAAATGATGATTGATTAAAAAAAAAATATTAAAAAAAATATATATATTTTAAAATATTACTTGTTTATAGTTTTTTTATTTTTCTGTGATTTTATTTGAAAAATCAATAAAATAAAGGCATCTTTTACGTTTTTTTTTTGTTTTTTTTAATTTAGCTTTTAAAAAATTAAAAGAAAAAAGAAAAAAGCAATTGAAAAAATAATAAATACATATTATTAAAAATAATTGAAATTTTTATATTATATATTTTTAATTTTATAACATTTTTTTAAATAATGTAATAAAGAAATCAAAGAACACAAAATGTAATAATATTAAGATTTCATTAACATATATTAAAAAAAATATTTCAAAATATTTGATAAGACTGTTGAAAAAACAATAGAAGGTTCTAATAAAAGAATGGAAACTACTGACTCTTTATAACAGCAACAATAATAACAATTTTAATAATAGCTTTAATAATTACAATAAGATAAAGAATTAAGAAATTTATAATATTTATAGTAAGAACATCAGCTACCACGTAAATAAAAATAGAAATAATTAAAAAAACATTAATCAAATATTAGTAGGTGATCCATTAGTAATGCAATAACAAATATTAGAATTAAATGATTAAATTTAATATTTATAGGTGACAAATTAAGTGGGTTATTTATTTAATTATATTTTGTATGAAAAACAATATATTTTTAAATTAAAAGAATGCATTAATACAAAACGAAAATATAATTAAAGGATAATAATAAAGGATAACATAACTTTCATAGATGTATGACAGCTTAAAGAATGAAATAAATTATTTAAAAAAACACACATAAACTTAATAAAATCCAAATAATTTTTAAAAAGGATTAGATAATTTGAATTATTTAAAAGATTTTGAAATACAATCAAATTATAAATAATACAATAATTAATATGATTCAGATCCTCTAGATTAATTTTTATAAAAAATCCCTAATTTTACTAATAAATAATAGCCATTGTCAAAAATGCCAAATTAAGATTAATTTAATAAATCAAGTAGAACATAAAGCAGAAATTAATTTTAAACTGTAGCAGCTTAAACTCTAAATTAATTTTAGCATATACCTTAATAATAGTATTAAATAAATATATATAAAGTTTTTAAATATGAATATATTTTTTTTATTAATTAGAAACTAATATTATCCGTAATAATAATTTCTATATAATTAATAATTATAATAAAATCCTTAATAATTTCAACAATTATAGTAAAAAGAATAAATGAAAATGTAGCCTATTTTATAAACCATAGAAAAACAAAATTAAATGCTAATGAAAATTTTAGAAAGTGCGTAAAATAACAATGATGGAAAAAATAAATAAGAAGAACAAGAATATTTAGAAAGAATAGAAAAATTAGAATAATAATTAGAAAAATAAAGAATATAAAATGATTATATGATTAAAAATAATATATAAAATCCAGATGTTAATTATTTATTGAATGCAGCTTAAAACTAAAAAAGTTAAGTTTAACCTGAAAATTAAAAAAAATTCTTATAAACTAGTATCCCATTCAATAATAAAATATACCTGAATAGTAAAAATTACCTAATCCAGATGAATTTCTTAAATTTATTCAACAAAACAATCAAAAAGTTAAAGCTTCAATGTTTGGATAACCTCAATTTTTAAATTAAACTGATTAAAAAGCAAATTAAAATGATTAATTATAATAATTTATTGAAGTATTATAAAAATAAAATTAGGATGTATGATATTATTTTTATTATAAAAAAAAACTAAATGTTAATTTTTTCTAATATTTATTTAAATAAATAATTCAAGAAAGCTTTATAATTTTTTTTTTTATTAAAAAAAAATAATTTTTATTTAAAAAAAAAAATTATATAGATAATTTTAAATAGCAAATATATATATTCAAGTGTTAAAGGATAAAATTAAAATACGAAATAGTTATATAAAATAACAAAAATATTGTATTACTAAATAGAGTTTAAATAATATTTTTTTTTTTTAAATATATTTATATAATATATATATAAATATATATATATAAGTATTATTGTTTAAAAAAAAATGAATAATGTATCATATTTAAATAAATATTAATCTAAATTATTTTCAGATTGCAATATAAAAAATTATGTAAAAAAAGAAACCTTATAATAAAAGCGAATTCGAAAATAGTAAAAATATGAATTAGTAAAAGAAGTAAAGCTTGTATTATTTACAAAACTTTTAGGATCATCAATTTTATTATTTTACTTATTCTTATTTTATGCAAATTTAAGCATAAGCAATGAAAAAAACAATTAGATAAAAATATATTATTATATACTCTATATAATTTCAGATATCTTATTTTTATTTTCATGGGTGAGTGCTTGCTTCGCTATTTTATATAGAAATGATAAACTGTTATAAAGATCTTATGCAACTTATATAATAAATACAATTTTCAAAATAATAGGGTTAATAATTCATTATAAAAGTTCTTTTACTTAGAATAAAAATGCTATTTTCTTTATATCTATGATTATTTTTATATGCATAATTTCTTATATTTATGCTTTTTATTATTCTTTGCTAATTAAAAAATGGTAATTTATTACACCTTATAAATGGTAAAGAAGTTTTAATCCTAATTTAAAGTTAAAAGATTTAGAAGGTAAAACTGATATAGGTTATTGATATTTATAAAAGTTTCTAGTATTAAGAATACTAAATATAAATAATTATAAATAAAACTATTTTTTTTTATAAGATGATAAAATTTATATTCTATTTTGTATAATATATTAATATAAAATCTACTATATATTATTATTGTTTTTTTGTATATTGAAATCTGATTTTAAGGTTAAAATTAGATTTTTACTTTCAATAAAAATTAATTAATAGAATATTTTTATATAAATTTAAATGTTTTGTAAAGTATAAATAATTTTAATTATCGCTTTTCATAATAATGAAATATGAATTTTTTAAAAGTTTATTCAAATATTTTTATTACAATTTTAAAAAGATTATTTTAAGAAGTAATTATTTTATTCATTTTTTTAGCATTTTCTATATTAATTGTATTCAGCTATAAGAATTTTAAATAATTTAAAATATAATTTTAATTAAGAAATTTTTAATATAACTTTATAAAAATATGTTATTTTTTTTAATAAGATTATTTTTAAAAATTATAAACTAATCAATAAAAGTAATATTTTTAATTTTACTAAAAAATAATATATTTATTATTAATAATTTTTGTTTTTATTATTATTGTAAACTAATTAAATAATTACTAAAACATATTTTAATATTATAAAAAGAATAAATTAATAATAAAATAATTTTTATTATTTATTTTAAATTTGAAAATAATAGATGCATCCATAAGGCTATATTTAATTTTATATCGCCTTAATTTTTTTTTCGATTAAATCTTTAAAAAAAAATACAGAAAAAAATAAAATATTTAAATAGTAACATATTTTTTATGTAAGTAATTAAACATACGAATACAAACGAGATAAATTAACATTTAAGAAAAAAAATTAGCAATGATTCTAAGCAGAAAAATATTAGCAAAGTAAAAAAAAATTAATATAATAAATTAATTATAATTTTATGAAAACTTAATAAAATTCTACTTAATTATAAAATTAAACAATTCTAAATGTGCAATATTATAAAAAATAAATTGCTTTTTCATATTAAATAATAAGAAATTAAATTAGGTATTAAATTGATTGTAAAGAGAATAATGAACCAACAATTATTTATGATTAAAGAAAACTACTTATTGATTTTATATTTTATAATGATAAAATTATAAATATTTTACAAAATTTAAAATATATTAAATAAAAATTATAATAGCAAGTTTTTATATTTTATTTAAATGATTAATTATTCATTATTCAAATTATCAATAAAATTTGTTAAAAAAATATCAATTTGATTAATAATAAATGATTTAATAGTTAAAAAAAAAACTTTATAAAATTATTATTTAATATTATTAAATATATATTAGAAAGATATTTTTTTTTATTTTTTTTATTTAGAATTGTATTTAATAAATTTAATTTTAATTTTTTAATATATTTACATAATTTTAAATATTGAAAAATTTCTATTTTAATAATTTAATAAAAAATATGAAAATTTAAATTTAAAAATACACATACATTTATATAAATATAAAAAATAGACTTATTTATTTTAAAGATAATGTATTTTAATATTTATATTAATTTAACTTTTTTATGTTTGTAAATAATCATACAGAAACTACCTATTGAAACTAACTACGATAAAACATACAATAATTCGAATGTGTAAGTAATTATTTGCTTTTTAGAGTTTTTAGAAACAAATAATGACATAGCAATAATAAAAGAAGAAAATATAAAATATTTAATTAATTTTCTATTATTTATTTTATGGATATTTTCTTAATTTTATACAAGATTTATATTTTTTTAAAATTTACTATTTATTAAAAATTATTAATTTTTTTTTATTTCATTAATAATTTTAAATGGTTTAGTTTATAATTTAATTATTTAATTTTATCTTCCTTTCTATATTTTATATCTTCTATTATTTAGCTTGAACTTGAAATTAATTTGGTATTTAGTAGCTTTTCGAAGGAAACTTGTTGAGTATTTAAAGTTGTACTGTTATTCTAATTTACCAAATAAATTTATTATTTTTTACTATTTATTACACATTTCTTAATTAATATATATATATATATGAATATGTCAATAAATAGTCTTAAATATGTTAATTAATAAAATAAATAAGACTTTTTTAAGATAATATTCTCTTATTTAAATAAATATAAATATTATTGTAGATATTATAATTATTAACATTATCATCTTGATATTCCATATTATAAATAAAAATATAAATAATATGCATATTTTCATTATTTTCAAGTATTTTGTTATTTTATATTAATACTTAAAATATTTATTATAAAACTAATTGAATAATTTGATAATCACAAAATTAGATAAATTTTTTTATTTATATAATATTAAATTTATATTATAAAAAGTATGTCTAAACCATTAAAAAGGCTCTGCGAAAATTAATATTATTGAATTTTCCACAATTTATAGAATCCATGTAACATTAGATTCTATTTTAAATAAAATATTGCGTTTTGCAAATGTTTAGACATTATATTTATATACAAATATGAAGATATTATTAATAGATTTTATTAAAAAAATTAAAATATCTTTAGTTCTCAATTTAATCTTTAAATTTTTTTTATTTTTATATTTCATTATTTTTTTTGTACATATTGTTTTTATAATTTTTTTTTAAGAACAAAATCAATTAAAAAAATGGAGTGAAAAATCAATTATAACATTTTTTTTGATTAAGTTTTTAAAAAAAAATCAGATAAATAAATAAAACAATAATTAATAATTAAATATATTTTATTCCCAAAGATTTTTTAAATTAATATATACAATTTTATTTTTTATAAAAAAAAATTAATTTTTTATATTAATTATAAAATATAAAACTTTAAAATTTAATTTTTTGTTAAAAATATTAATAATAAAAGATATATATTAAAAAATTTAAAAAAGTATAATATTATGTGTAAAAATACAAATTTATCATATATTTTATGACAGATTAGTATTATTTAAGAGATTAAAATTTTGATAGAAAAATAAGTTTTTTATAATAAGATTAAATTTCTTATTCAACAGACATTTTCATAATTATTTGATAAATTATTTATTCACAATTTTTGCTTATGTATAAAAACTAATATTATCACTATCTTAAAATTCCAAAGTATTTTTTATAAATTTTTTCTTTTCTTCATTATTATTATTATTACTAAAATATTTTTTTTCATCATTAAAAAAGTCTTCTATACTAATTTATCGATTTCCCTAAAATTACAATATAGGTTATTTCGCAATTAAGCTAGATATATAAGGCTAAGAGTAGTTACTTTTAGTCTCAGAGCTTAATATATTATAGAAAGAATTATTAAAAGAGTAATTATATTAAGAATTATCTGTCTTTTGTCTTATATTAAATAACTTACTATTTAATCTCTACATGTTAAATTTATTTCTTTTAAAAAGTTGAAATAAAATTTATAAATTTTAAGAATTTTTTACTCTTAATTTAACTTTGATATTGCTTAATCTATACTTGTTAATGGATCATCCGGAACTTAGAAATCGTCATCTTAAAAGCCTTAAATATACTCATGATTTAAGGCTTCTTCAGGAGTTATTCTTTTATTTGGATCAATCTATAAAAGTTTTATTAATAAATCAATTGCTTTTTTTAAAAAAATAAAAAAACACAAAAAAATATAAGTTTTAAATTTTTATATTTTTTTTAAAATTAAAATATAAATCATAAATAATTTTATCGCTTTAAAGATAAATAAAATAAAAAATTATTAATTATATTTATAAAACAATACCTAAAGGATCTTGATTTCTTATTTCAGGTTAGAAAAAATTTACATCGCACTTCTTATTTAGATCAACAGTTTCTTTAGTATTTTTTCCTTAAAATAAAGGTTTTTTAGTTAATCTAATAAAAAGCTTAAATTAAAAAAAAAGAATTATATATATATACATACAAAAAATATAATAAACATCCAAGGCTAAACAAATCGCATTAAGTTGTGTATTTTCCATCTTTTTCTTTCATATTAATAATTTCAGGGGCTACATAACCAGGAGTACCACACTTCTGATATAGAAATTTGTCTATGTTTTGAAAAGTACTTAATCCAAAATCGATAATGCAAATATTTATATCATTTTGGTTTTGTAAAAGAATATTATCAGGTTTTATATCTCTATGCATAATTCCTTATTTTTTAAGATGACAAAGCGCTTCTAGCATTTATTTCATGGATTATTTTATAAATTTTTATGTTATAATTTAATTTTGATGCGTTTTTTCGTTTTTATATGAAAAATTTTTCTCTATTTTTTTCGTATATTATATACAGTCCAATAAAGAACCACCTTAACATTAAGGAAGTACAAAATAATAACTACTATTTGATTCCCAAACTTCTAGAAGTTAAATAATATTTTTTTATTTACATGTTTTCATTAAAAGAATTTCGTTATAAAATGCTTCCTTGATTATTTTATATAAATAATAAAATATTTTATTTATTTATATAAAATTTATATTTTTAATACATAACCTTAATCCTCCTCTTATATCTTTTATTTTATGAAGATTTTAACTGCAAAAAATCTATTAGAAAATTATTGTTTTACCAAATAAACCTAATTATTTATTTAAGATTAAAAATTTTTTATTTAGAAAAAAATATTTAAAATATTTAACTTTTTTTAATTATAAATGCTCTTAATATATAAAAAATATTTTTTAATATTATTAAATATCTTTACAGATGCAAAGCTTCCTTTTCCAAGTTTTTTTTAAGCTCTATAAACATCATGAAACCCATATTAAATGGTATTATATTTAAAATAGTTAATAATTTAGTATTTTTATTAATTGTCGCAAAATAAACAAGTAATTTAATTATTTTTAGTATTATCAATATTCTATTCATTACTAATAAAATCTTATTAAATATTATTCAAACAAAGATCTATGTTTTATTTTTAATTTAATTTATCATTTTTCTCTTCATTATTTTTTTTTTATATATTTTTATCTAATTATTAATTTATATCTATTTCAGAATTTTTATCATTATCTTAATTTTAATAAAGTATAAATCCATCATAACATTATAAAGTATTATTAAATTTATTATTTACAAAAATCCATTATATCCTTGTATGTCTATTTATATTAATGCAACAAGTTTAATTATTTTATTCATTTGTAAACTTAAAAATTAAATTTTATATTATAAATTTTGTTTATTAAAGTATATATTTTTAATTTTGTTGATAATTTAAACTTATTTAAATTTTTTACTGTAATGTGTTTAGGATAAAAATTAATAAAAGATTTTCTTTCTTCTTTATCAATCAATATCACTTTACTTGTGAATATCATACAATAATTAAATTCAATTTTTTAAAAAATAATTTTATTTTAAAATTTTTTAAGAATAAATAAACAAATTATATAGAATAAATAATTAAATATAAAAAATAAAATACTTTGAATTTATTTATTATAATTAAAAATATTATATTTATAATAATATTTTTAAAAATTCATTATTCATTTAAGATATAAGTTTTAGTAAAAATTATATGCTTAATTTATTAAAAAGCTATTATAAATATAAAACATATTATTTTAATAATATTAAATTATATTTAAATAAATGTTTTAAGATAACAAAGTACATAATTAATCATCAACTAATTTAACACACTAAACATAAAAAATTCAAGAAAATAACTCTTTCCAAAAAAGGATACCCTTGTATATTTTTTTTTTTTCTAAATGTTAAAAAACTAAAAAAAATAAGAAAAATAATAATTTAAATATACCTTGTTTATATCATTTATTTTCTATATTTTTTCTTTGAAAACTTAATCAAAAAGTGTATTATTAAATTATAGTCCACAACTAGAGCCTTCAGAGAAAAAATACGAGAATCTAAACGAGGAATTAATGTTTTTAATATAAAATGAATATCAGTCACTGCATTATTTTTGTAAAATAATTTTTAAGTATTATAAAAAGGATATTTTAGGAGCATTTACATATATACTTATAGAATTAATTTTCAAAGATATTTAGTATATTTTGTACTGGTGCTCTGATTTTCTCAGCTTAATAAAAATCAATCTTTTAATAAATTTTGATGTGGAGTTCTAATAATTTCTTCGAATGTTCTAAACATTAAAATAGATTAAGATGGATGTGCAAATGATAAATTATGTCTGCTTAATGTTATTAAATATTTCATACTAAACAATAATCAATACGAATGTCTTCTCAGTTAGAAAAAATAAATTGTGCGATAAGTAATAATTTTATATCTTCTGATTATGCTGTTTCAGCTTTTTGGCTATAGTTATATTTATAGACTTATGTTATTTACAGAATCATATAGCAAAAGATCAGCAGATCATAATAAAAAGTAATTAGGAAAATTATAGAAAAATTAAATTATTTAACAAAATATTGGATGAAATTAAAACGATAAAAAAAGCTTTCTAAAGTAAAGTCTATTAAATAACAAATAAAGTAGTTACATTAATTCTTATATAATAATAATTAATTATATATGCTCAGCTATGTCTATATTCACACTTTATTTATTTCAGTACTATGATTTTTTTTTATAAACTTATTTTAAGCAAATAAACCCAGTATATATATAATTATTTTCCACTATAAACATGTTGTTTTGTTTCTGGGATAAATAATTAAAAGTTATGGAATAGGGGCCTAGTTTATAATGATTTTGTATAGACTTGTTAGTATATATCTCAAAATGGAAACATAATAATTTTTTGACAATAAATTAAATAAAACAATAAAATAAAATTATTTTATATATATATATACTTTTTAAAAAAAAATTATATACTATATAATTAAGAAAAAAAAGCCTGTTTGATACACAAAAAAATAAGGGTAACATAATTCTATTATTTGAAATAATTGAGGGTGGAAAAGGTTCACTTTTATTAACTTTTTAAAAGAAATTCCCTTTTATTCATGTTCGTGGTTTATTACAAGAAAATTGTTTATGTTGAACAGGACCTTTTATTTTAGAGAGAAGTTTTAGGGTTAATATTCTATTTAGATAACTTTTTAATTAAAAAAAATATTAAAAAAAAATTTAATATGTGTTTTATAAACTGTCATTAAAGTCCTTAAGAAATGAGATTTAACTAATTTAGGAGAAAAAAAAAATATTAGTGGTGGGTAAAAATGAGAATTGCTTAGTAAGGGCTTTATATTTTGACGTAGAATTATATGTATTTTGATGATTTTTTGTTATGTATGGTTAATAAAGTAGATAATAATATATTTAAGAGATTTTATAAGATTATTTAAATGATAAAATATTTTATTTGTAACTCATAACTTTAATTTATATTAATAACATTTATATGGTTGATTTAGAAAAAAAAATTGGAAAATAACTTTTTAAGAATAATTTTAGAAGAAAAAGAAGAAGAATCAAAAATAAATAAAAACAGAAGAAGAGAAAAATAACAAAAATATTTTAAAATTTTATATCAAAATAAAAAAATTATATAATTAAAAAAGCAAACAATTAGTAAAATTAAATACATGATTTTTTTTATAATTAAAAATAATTATTTTATATTATTAAGTTAAATTATTATTTATTTAATTAAAATATTAATTTTATAAATAAAATTTTACTTTTCAAATAAGATATTTATTATAAATATTATAATAATAATAATATGACATATATATTTTCTAATTTTTATATTTTATAATATTTTTTATTATTTAAAATAAAAATCAATTAATAGTTTATATATTATCGTATGCTTCTTAATTGATATTATTTAATTGTTTCTATGAATTATTCTAAAATATTTACTATTAATTTTGATTTAGATTTTATTTTTTTAATTATCTCTCTATTAATATTTGTCTTATTTTTTCATCTTAAAAATTGGTTTTTTCAAGTTGATTTAATAACTTTTTTTATCATTTTAATTTAATAATAAAAAAAAATTATACTTCTTTGTTTTATTCAATTGCTTATTCATAATTATTTTAAAAAATAAATATTTTTTGCTTAAGTTAATTTTAAATATTAATTTATTCATGGTTATAGGCGTTAGACTTAATTATTTATTACTATAGCTATTCATTATTATCTTCTAATTTTTTAACATACAATTCAATATCCTAAATTTTCTAATTTTATTTTTTTTCAATCATAATTTTATTATTTAATTCATAATTTTCTTTAAGCGTTTGATCTTTTATTTTTGTTAATTCTTGAACTTATTATTAAAGTTAATTTATTTACATCTATAAACTATTTTATTATAAATGTTCAAATCTATTTAATTCTTATTTATTTTTTTATTCTATGCTAATCTTTTATTTGAATTGAAATTTAAAATATTTTATAATTATAAAAATATATATATTTTACTTATTCTAATTGTTATTATAATTTTTTATTTTAAAATTCAAAATACTTAATTTCTTCATTTAATTCAGAAACATATTTTTCATATTAATCATTTTTTTCATTCAAGATTAAAATTTTTTAACTTAATTAATTTGTTTCATTTACTAATATATTTTTTTCACTTATTATATTATGCATTTATTACTAAAGGTTTACTTTTTAAGAATTTAACTAAACCTAAATTTAATTTTACAATCTAATTATTTCATTTTACATATTTTCATTATTTGAATTAATTTGTTCATTTTCTATCTTTATTTCTTATAATAAAATTCTATATTCATTTAAATTTTATTTAGATAGCTCTAATTCAGATTTTAAATTTTTAATTGTATCATGACATTATAATAATTAATTTTCTAATTTAGTCTTTTCATCATTTAACAAACCAAATCTATTTTCTAAACTTCTTAAATGATATATTAATTCTTAATAATCTCTTTCATTTTATCTCATTTCATATATCTGGGTTTATAAATTGGATATTAAAAGATCTTTTTAAAAAGCGTCGGAAATGTTATTTTTATTTGGTGAAAATATACCCTTATTAATTTATATATATATATATTTTATTTTATTGTTTTTAGATTGTAAACATACTGATTTGCTCATGCGATTATTATGTATATTTTAAATTAAAATTACAAAATTTATATATAACTTGCTTTATATTTAAATAAAATATTAAAAATACCCAATAAATAATTATTTATCTTTTTTAAAAATAATTATTATATAAATATATTGAATTTATATTATAATATAAAAATTATTTTTTGAATATTTATAATATATTTAAAAAAATAAAATAATAATTATTAAAAAAATTAAATAAAAAAATATTTATTTATAAAATATAAATGAAAATAAATATTTTAAAAATAAATTTATTAATATATAAATATATTATATTTTAATATATAAAAAAATATATTAATATATTAAAATTAATTTATTAATAATATATAAATATTAAATAAATAAATATATAAATATATAAATATTAAATTTTTTTTTTATAAATATATAATATA